ANTAAGCACAGTAAGCTGGTACACGCATAGCACGACCACCAGCATCTCGAGAGGCCTTTTCAGCGGCCAGCTACTAAATAATGCATGAACGTCACATAGAGGAAGGTAGCATAATACGAGCCGTCAACGATAGGACCATCACCGCCAACCGGACTGTGTGAACCTGTCTCCAGTGCGTCACGCAGCACACTGACTGCCTTGACGCTTCCAGTTGAGGGATCCATGTCCAGGTCGGCCAACCTGTCTGTCAGTGAATGGCGGTAAGTCAGCCACAAACCAGTCTGTACCTAATTCCAGGTTGGATAGAGCCTCCTTGAGAGTGGCGCGCTGGTTCTGTTTGTCCTTGTAGTTGAGATCCTGGGACGAGATGTTGACATGGGGCATGTGCTTGCTCAGCGCGCACAGTGCAGGGAAGCTGATGAGGTATGGCCCGATCATCATCATCTTCCGGGGGTTGATGAGCTGGCACCTGCAGCACGTGTTACAGTGTCGACATTGCTGATCCTATTTGGTACCAGTCATTCGCCCGTGAACGCATGGCCATGCTCCTGGCTTTTAATGTACCCCACAGCAGGCCCGTGTACCTTAGGCGCCAGCCAATGTGCATTTGGTCAATAGTCAGCACGACGGGTTGGAGCACGGACACCCACGTCACTGCAAGGGGCAATGTAAAAAGCTACCTCCTCCGGCTGGCGTTGTTGTCCTTTGACGCTGAGACCCCGGATGATACCCCGCAGCAACTGTTGAATTGTGCCGTCAACGAGTCCTGAATGTCAATCGATGTCCGATGGTTAACAAGTCAAGGCATGTGTACGCGCACGCCAGCCTACACTACTCACGCATGCCGACACTGCATCATACCTCGTTGTTGTGATGTTTCGAGCAGTCGGATGAGTTCACTGCGTGATGCATCTGCCCGAGCGTATGCCTGTAGCCTCACTCTATCAGCCTGGAAAAGGGATGTCCACCGCTTAATCTCCCTGTCCGCGCTATTCGATCTGCCCGCTCGGTGATCAATGCGGATGTGACCACCTTGAGCCGCTCAAAGAGCTCAACGTGTCCCGCACGCTCAAGTCCCTCGGCAGAACGGAAGGGGACAATGACACTTGGGTCTGTCGCGACTCGCTGTGTCGCAGCGACTCGCAGTGAAGCAGCGTCGGCTGAACGCTTCAATTGGTGATTTCTGTTGAGGGCCAGACACGCGGCACACGGCCGTACAGCTGCGGAGGAGAAACTGCAGACAACGGACCGGATGGAGTCGATTTCGCCGTAGTATGCTGGAAGCTGATTATCGAGGACACTGCGGAAGATGGAGACCCTCGAGACCAGCTGACACGAAGTCCAAATGACGCGGTATGTCTTTTCATGCTTTGTGGCTTCCAACCATGCAAATGCGCCATGGTGCACTTGCAGCCATTCGCCTTCACTCGGGGTTTATTTAATTCTCTGCTGCGTCTATATTCTGATGTCGCGGCTCTCGCGACGTGTCTCCACGATGTGCTGGACGGGGACGATGAATGGGTGGATGCTGTGCGTCGTCAATTCGAAGAAGATCTCGGCGTCTACTCCGTTGGTGAAGCATGGGAACTGTTCCGAGGTGAGAGATTGATCACAGAGAGAAAAGCGCGAGTCCGTGCCAGAGACGTGGGGCGGCGATGTCCCCGTGCCGTGCGAAACTTTGCGAACGGTGTTTTGAAAGACATGGCACTGAGAGGGAATGTACCGGGCCTTACCGTCTCGGACGCGAAATCCCTCTTGTTCAAGATCAAAACGGCATCGGAGGGGGCCGTGGAGGATCAGGGACACAGGGACGCGGAGACTGGCACCGTCGAGGACGCGGCGGAACTGTGGTCCCGATGAGTGCACCAGCCGCCATCACCGAAGCAGAGGATGTGCCACCCCGCGTCAAGTCGCGTGGTGCTACTGGTAAGTGGCGACGTGAGATGTGTGGCAGGGAAGAGTGGGCAACCTAGAAAGGAGGAACCCACCTCACCCCACCCACCCAATTGCATAATGTTATACATACCGACGTCTATGAAACATCATACCATATGACAACAGAAATGCCCCCCTTGTTTTACAACCCTGTGTAGGCGAGTTCAAAACAAACTGGTCAGAGCTCGGCGGTGTAGACCCATATGCCTGCTGCATCAGCGGCTGCATCAGGGGGTGGTTCATCGGTGCTAAGACTGGCAGTACACGGCCGGTCGCATTCACCAAGCAGTACTGCTGCTGAAAGCCGCTGTGGATTATGCGTGGTTTGATGCCATACTACAATGGCCTGTCTGTTTTCTGCGCCAACGTTTGGCGTTTGTGCGTGGGCAATCCGGGAGTCAACAGCAGGAGGGAGGACCCCTGACATGGGGAGCGCGGGTAGCCAATCCACACGGAAGTGTCGTGGTTTACATGGGCCCATGCGTGCAACGTTTTGTGTCAGTGTTTGGTTGCATGGGCGGAATACCGGGGGCGACTTCATGGGCCATGCCCCGCCCAACGGAGAGCTCGATGGATTAAGGCATAGATTGCATATGGTGAACATATTCTTCTCGGCAGACATCTGCATTTTCATTTGTTTTCAATGTAGCTCGTGGTACTGAGTTTAGCTGTGTATCAGAGATTTGTCATTGTTTCCACCCAAACCTATTCATGCATACGAGTGTTGTGGGATAAACTGGACGAACTGCCGATGAAGTGTGGTGGGAAAACAGTGGGACCTCGGCGGCTGACTTGACTGGGTAATGCAGTCGTGGCCCTGAGTGCTTGCCTCCGGTAGTAGTAGTAGTGCCAGAGTACGGTAACCAGGTGTGCAAGTTTTCCCACTCCATGTCGTGGGATCGAAACTAATACGCACATGAGGCACTTGTAAGCGGTCCTCTTGCAAAGTTTTCTGTAAATTCCTTAAAAGTCATGTGCTTTTGGATGCCAGCCCGAGCCAATCCTGCCAACTTGACAGCCAATTCGACACCCTGTCAGGCTAATTCGATACCCTGTCAGGCCAATTTGACACCCCGAACAGGTCAATTCGATACCCCGTCAGGCTAATTCTATACCCTGTTAGGCCAATTCGGCACCCGGACAGGCCAATTCGACACCCGGACAGGCCAATTCAGGCCCAGCACAGCCCAATTCCGAGGCTCCACAGCGCAATTCGAATACCTCCGGCGAGTCCGCCAGAACAATTCCAGACCTCGGCAGAGCAATTCTTTTGTCAGGAATAAAATCCAGGCTAATTCTGCGACAGAGCTCCTCCCTAATTCCAGCCCGGATCCTACCCTCCTGCTGGAGCTGCAGGCAGGCAGGACAAATACTTCGTTGTCCGCCTGCAACCGTGTATTATACAAATGTTTATCTATATAATATAGATAATAGTACACTTTGTTATAGAGCTTGTCATATGTTGTGTGATGTTGTTGATGATGACGTTCAGAGGTCGGCAAATCGGTTTCTACGGCTTCGGGAGGGCATTAGGGTTCTTCACCAGGGTACCCAAAAA